TACACAATCAAGGGCTTTGCCTATAAAGCATACATGGATCTTCTTCTGAAATCTTTGACACTCTCCAGTAGCCACTGGATATTTGCAATATGATTTCAAGTGCCTCTTCTTTTCCAGAATCCAGCTTGAACATCAGGCATTTCTTGCTCTATATAAGGTGAAAGTGTTTGTTGCAACACATAGAGCATCCCTTTGCTTGCATGAGAAATTAAAGCAATGGTCCAACAGTTACTGCACTCCCTGGCATCTCCTTTTTTTAGGGATTAGAATGTATACTGTATGGAGTTCTCCAATATCTGAGCTTTTGTTTTGTATTCCATATTTGCTGGCACATTCTTAGGAACAAAATGGATTTGGGACCAAAGCCAAAAATCCAAGGGTAATTTTCACTATTCACAGAATTCTTTCAAGTTTCGCTAAACAACTAGGAACTAAAATCCTTTGGATAACCCTCTTGTCCTTCCTCCTCAGAGCCATTCCCCTGTTCCTTCCAGAATCTATTAATTTCTGTCTTCATGGCTTACAATTGCACCAGCAGTTCCACTGGTTATATAGCTTTCTAACCCACCCCATCATACTGCTAATTTTACCCCTCATTTAGCACAAGATCTTCAGCTCTGTATTTTCTAAATACTGTATTCTATTAGAGCCACTATTCCATGTGCTAGGGATAGTTATACAAATGAAGACATCTTCCTCAGATTTAGTGAGTCTGCATGCAAGTGTTTTAAAGCATAAAGGTATGAAAAGGTATTTTGGATGTGAAAAGAAAATGAAAGTGCTTTTGGATTTAAGAGCATGGGTGATCAACAGTTATTCTCAATGTTGCTCTGCATTGAAAATTATAAAATTGTTTCTTCCTAGGCCTCTTCATAGGGCTTTTGCAAATTTAGAAGAGCCATTCTCAATTGTGACTTATATGACCCCTGAGGGGCCCTGGCACATTTGAAGGGGGCCACACACTGCAAACAAATCTTCACATACCACCTTATAATGTTTGTTTTTCAACTTATACAATCCTGATTTCGCCTATATTTTTTCATATTGTGTTCAGATACACATTTGCCATAGACCAGTAGATAGTTAAAGCAGATCTTCACAGCACATAATCAATATTTTGGAATCTGCATCTTCTCTTTAAGCTTTGTATTGTCTTTAACAAATGCCTAAAGCATTGGGGAAAAAACTTGATTTTCATTGTTTTATTGGATATAAAGACTACAGGACATTCCAGTTGAAAGCAGCTTTGGCTCTTCACAAAACTGAGTTTTTTGTCAGTAAATTAACACTATCACTCATTTGGATATGGATTTAAAGCCTACCCTGAGCCAATCACTTAGTAGGTACAGTAAGGAAACAAAGTAGCATGAGGAAAAATTGAGCTGGTAATTAAATGAGGATTAAGAGGTTCTAAGGAACTTAACAGAATTTAATTCAAAGCAACTGTTAATTAAGGTACTAAAGCACTGGAGGAAATATAGGCTAAAACAGTCTTTAACAGCAATTGCAATAAGGAGGTATGACACACTTAATACAGTACACAAAGAAGGTCCTGAGACCTTCATATCATTTGATTAAAAGGGAACAATGTTTGTTACTCCAGGTACTGCAGAATACTTGCTAGATGTCCATCATCTCTAGAAATGTCCAGATACAGTAATCTGCTTGTATTCAGTCAAAAAGTAAAGACCATTTGAACAACCGTTAAGTCTCTTGCTAAGAAAGTACATCTTTATGTCAGCACATAATTTCTTTTTCCCTAAACCTCCAAGCTAGCCCAACTATCAAACTCAGCACAGGCTTCAAAAGTTTTGCTCTGCTTTTAAAAGGTTATGACATAGAATTATGGTGTTTCTGTAGTTCAGAAGAACATAAAGCTGCTACATTCTGTAGTTCAGTGGTCTAATTGTTGGAAATCTGTACGTGAAGCAGAAATAATGAGCCTATTTTGATATTCAGTAATCGAATTATACCCCCTTCATGGATTGTTGCCTTATTGTGGCAAAGGGGCTTGAGTAATTCAGAGAAGCTATGGGCTATGCCATGCAGGGATACCCAAGACGGACAAGTTGTAGTGGAGAGTTCTGACTAAACGCGATCCACCTGGAGTAGGAATTGGCAAGCCACTCCAGTATCTTTGCTAAGAAAACCCCATGAACAGAAACAAAAGGCTAAAAGATATGATGCTGGAAGATGAGCCCTCAGGTCAGAAAGTGTCCAACATGCTACTGAGGAAGAGCGGAGGACAAGTACAAGTAGCTCCAGAGCTGATGAAGTGGTTGGGCCAAAGCTGAAAGGACGCTCAGCTGTGGATGTGCTTGGAAGTGAAAGGAAAGTTGAATGCTGCGAAGAAAAATACTACGTAGGAACCTGGAATGTAAGATCTATGAACCTTGGGAAGCTGGATGTGGTCAAACAGGAGATGGCAAGAATAAACATTGACATCCTGGGTGTCACTGAACTAAAATGGACAGGAATGGGCAAATTCAATGCAGATGATTACTATATCTACTATCGTGGGCAAGAATCCCGTAGAAGAAATGGAGCAGCCCACAAAAGAGTGGGAAAAGCTGTATTGGGATACAATCTCAAAAATGATGAGGTTGAAATTGATCAATTCTATGAAGACTTCCAACACCTTCTAGAACTGACACCAAAGAAAAGTGTTCTTCTCATTATTGGGGACTGGAATGCTAAAGTAGGGAGTCAAGAGATAAAAGGAACAACAGGTAAGTTGGCCTTGGAGTTCAAAACGAAGCAGTGCATGCTAACATGTGCTGGATTATGGAGAAAGCCAGAGAGTTCCAGAAAAACATCTACTTCTGTTTCATTTACTATGCAAAAGCCTTTGACTGTGTGGACCACAGCAAACTATGGCAAATCCCTAAAGAAATGGGAGTTCCTAACCACCTTATCTATCTCCTAAGAAATCTATACGTGGGACCGGAAGCAACAGTTAGAACTGATTATGGAACAACTGATTGGTTCAAAATTGGGAAAGGTGTATGACAAGGCTATATATTGTCCCCCTGCTTATTTAACTTATATGCAGAATACATCATGCGGAAGGCCGGACTGGAGGAATCGCAAACCGGAATTAGGACTGCCAGAAGAAATATCAACAACCTCTGATATGCAGATGATGCCACTTTGATGGCAGAAAGTGAGGAGGAATTAAAGAACCTCATAATGAGGGTGAAAGAGGAGAGCGCAAACAATGATCTGAAGCTCAAAATCAAAAAAACTAAGATCATGGCCACTGGCCACATCACCTCCTGGCAAATAGAAGGGGAAGATATGGAGGCAATGACAGGTTTTACTTTCTTGGGCTCCATGATCACTGCAGATGGTGACAGCAGCCATAAAATTCAAAGACGCCTGCTTCTTTGGAGGAAAGCGATGACAAACCTCAACAACATCTTAAAAAGCAGAGACATCACCTTGTGGACAAAGGTCCGCATAGTCAAACTGATGGTTTTTTCAGTAGCAATGTATGGAAGCGAGAGCTGGACCATAAAGAAAGCTGACCGCCGAAGAATTGATGCTTTTTAATTGTGGTGCTGGAGGAGACTCTTGTGTGTCCCCTGGACTGCAAAGAGAATGAACTCATCCGTTCTGAAGGAAATCAACCCTGAGTGCTCACTGGAAGCACAGGTCCTGAAGCTGAGGTGCCATCTCATGAGAAGAGAAGACTCCCTGGAAAAGCCCCTGATGTTGGGAAAGTGTGAGGGCAAGAGGAGAAGGGGATGGCAGAGGTTGAGATGGTTGGACAGTGTCATTGAAGCAAATTCATCGAACATGAATTTGACCCAACTCTGGAAGGCAGTGGAAGACAGAGGGGCCTGGCCTGCTCTGGTCCATGGGGTCACAAAGAGTCGGACATGACTAAACAACAAAATTGAATTATAGAATATGATGGAAGTATCTCAAAAATAGACAGAGGCAGTTTGCTTGAGCACTTGTAATACAGCCTAGAGTTATCTCATGCAAGCTAGACTGAAGTCACCAGAATGTCTTTCTCCAGTTCAGAGCCCAAAGGCATAAAACAGAGTGAATGGAAATCAATTTACCCATCTTACCTACACATAAATAAATTCCATTGACTTCAGTGCTGCTCCTTCTTGTATAAACAATCCTATCCCTCCTTTTATTTTTTTCTACAGAAACAATTGATTACTCTTACTATTTGTGATATCACTCAAATTATTCTTTGTTCGGGAAATGGTTGTTTTTACTAAAATCAGTTGTCACAGATTTTCTAAAACAAAACACAACACAACTTCTAAGTCACTAAGCAAGTAGGCACCATGAACACCCTAGTCTGGTACATCATAGCAGCCTCCTCAACTCATGAAAAAGGGAGAAAAAGTTAACTTTGTGTGATAATCTAACCTTTAACCAAACCGCTTTTTGCAACTGTTGAAGTACAACCATTTGCTCCCTTCTTCTAAAGCAAGTGATAGAGAAAGAGAAAATTGTGAAATGGAGCTGAGTATTCCTGCAACAGTAATTTATCTGTACAGGACAGGCAAAATTCGGCAGCAGAACACACCAGAAATTTCACCCCATTTTTGTGAGCTTTAATCATGTGAGCAATGTATAATTTCACAATCGCAACACCTGCCCATACTTACTTCCCAGGTATTTCAAAGGAGTCCCTCCCTCTTTCAAAATAATAAAATGATTATGTCTCCATTCATTTCTAGTTAGATATAGGTTGAGTCCAAGTCTTCACTTCCTATTATACCAGTAGTAGATATTGCTGAATATCTGAGGGTTTTGGAAAAGGTAGAGTAGAAAAGCTTTCCTTCTTTGGATGCTGAACTTTGAGATGGAGGTTAGAGAACAATAACATCAAGCAGATGCCAAATATATTCCACTTTTCCCTAGATATGTAATAGTTTCTTCCATCTATCTAATAGATTTATTTAAAAAAACACACACAAATTGCAATAAAACTGGACACACACTTCGTTTCAGAAAGTGATTGAGCAAAATACCTTTTCAGGAAATGCACAGATGAAGACATGGAGATAACAGCTTTCTTCCACAAAGTGGCAAGCACAGATTCTTAGAATCCCAAAGAATTCACTACCGTAAGAATAGTGAACATGTGGGAGTTGTAAAGCTCTGATGAACAACTGGTTGGGAATTAACAAGCTGTTGGGTCATATCTATGCTATTAACAGGTTGTGCAGTTGTCATTTATGCACATACTTACAACGTTGAGATTAATTCAACTAGATTGAATTATTCTCAAGTAAGTGGGCATGTCTGTCAGAGACATGTGAGAGTTACTCCTACTCAGAAACAAGAACGAGTGTGTTTCATGGGACAGAAAATATGATTTATTAAGGCGGCTTCCTAACACGACCAGATTAACAGTCAGGCACCAAAGAAATACAGTTCCTATAGATCTCTAGTGTGGGGTGAATCCTCAAATGAGATTTGTCATCACAAAGTCAAGGTGAGCAGGGGGAAAACGCTCAGGAAACAATGTTAAATTACAAAGATCTCCTGAAATGTTGATAACCTAGGTAGTTAGTTTACTCGGCACAAATTTTCAAAGTATATTAGGCTTGGGTTTAAGGCATCATAAGTGCTACGCCTTACAAATGCTGAGGTACAATAACCAGAAAAATTAGAAAATGAAAGTTTCACTTTTTTGGTTACACTTCAAAGCTGAGGGAACTATCTTTGTGGAATTTATGCATATAACATAGCAGTTTAAAGTCACAGTAGCATAATCAGCAATAAAGTTTTAGAAGAGGTAGCTGTGTTAGGCTGCTAGCATAACAGGCAAAAACAAATATTATACATTATATATAAAGACAAAAACATTGTGGCACCTTAAAGATTAACTGTTACATTTTAATGTGAGCTTTCATGGACAAGTCTACTTCCTCAGACAAGAATGAGGGTGACAAACCTAAAAACTACTGTAGTTGAAGACTTTTGTTTAATTATTGTGCTGTATTGCATAACACGGATAGTCCCCTAGCCAAGGGACTCAAGGCTTCCATTTATTTTATGATGAAGTTTCTACACATAAATCAAGCTTCCTCAACTGAAAAATAAATCTCTGTAATGTTTTCCATCATAAAAAGCATACACCAGTTCTTACTGCATGTTGCATAATATCAACCATTTCAAGCAATAAATCCATCTTACCTTATCTTTCCCAAGGTCTCTGTAAAGGCCCTTTAAATACATAAAGCAAAATATTGTAACCGTGCCTCTGAAATAGTGTTAGATTTTTGCCTGAAAGTCCAGGTGATTGTAATAATTAGCATCAGTACAGCACTTGCCAAGATGCTGAGGCAGCTGATGACTTTAATGAGTTCTTATGTTCTGCTACAGAGGATATGTAGTTTGCTACAACTAGTGGATATCACTCACCAGTTCTGTGAAGATGGCAGCCTTCTTATAAATGAATGTTGCATTGCAAAATTGTTTCAAAGCTGAACTGTGAAAAATTGGTAAACTGGGCAGTGGTGAGAATTCTGTTAGTTACATGTGCCGATGTAACTCCAATAGCATAAATTTCAGAGGTGAATTGCTATTAGCTAAGAAGTCAGTGCAGGTAGTTCTCCTTACAAAACAGTCACATGATTTGTAGTGTGACCAGAAAAATTAACATTGATTTCTTAATTGTGGCAATTGACCAGTGAAATTCATGCTGATGTAGTTATGTCAGCATAAATATGTAATGGGATTCTGGCTAACATAGTTGAAAGCTGATCTTAATGTTTCTGGATTTTGATTCATAATCTTCCATGATACACATTTTCCAGTAATTATCCTAATCAATGTTGCAAATTATTTATTTCTTAATTATTTCCTGCAAAGAATTTGAGAAATGAAGGATGCTTTAATGACAGAGAATGCTAAGCAAAGTGGAATATTAAAATCTCACCTCTAGAATTCTACTTAAATAAGCAGGACACTTGAAATAACTATATAAAATAGTTTTGTACAAGATTAGCTGTTCTGCAAATACTTAAGTCTTGCATGAGCATGTGTTGGTTTAAGGTTTTCAAACAGAGAATAACATACATTAATGTTAATTTTCAGGTATATAGTGCAACTATATAATAAATACTGCTACTCTGGGTGTTTAATTACTATTTAATTTATGTATTGCTGTCTTGAGGAGTGTTCTAATTCATATTGTATCAATAGTTTTCTTAATTAATGCTTTTCTCTAGAGTACTTTCCTTAAAAAAGTCATCCATTGTTTTGTCCTTCTGTTCTTGAATGGTTGCTTGTTGCCTGTATGTTATTTTCTATTTTGACATTTATTGCCCATTAGTTATACTCCAGGTCATTTAATTATTCAGACTTTACAGAAGTTTGTCCTACAAGTAAATGGGCTAATTATGCCTATCTTGCAACTTCCACTTTTCTTCCAGCAGAGGTCAGCATATGACTAGATTTCATGCACTTTGACTTTCAAATGAGAACTAAGTTGAAGAATTAAAAAAGGCAAATTGTCTTGGTTAAGTCATTATAAAACCGCTTTTCAGAATGCTGCATGTTCATGTTGGTAGTTAAGATATGATTGTAGAATAAGTAGTTTTGGCTTCTGATACAAAGCACCAAAGTATCCACCCATAACCACCCAGAGTAGACCTTTGGTCTAGATGGGCAGGATAGAAATCCAACAAGCAAACAAACAAACAATAAATTTCAAGTGGCAGGAAAACAGAATGATGCCCAGGTATTGTTAGTAGAGTATGATGTCATATATACACGGACTTGCATTCACACTGTGTGCTTCTGAGTCCAGGTCAAGGGACTGGATGCCTGCGTTTGAAGTTCTAAACAACTTGAAGCCAAATACATACAATACAATACAATACAATAATCACTGATTATCAGGGAGCTAAAGCTCATAGAAGAAATAAAGAGGTCAACAAAAAGTTTAAAAAGCCTGGAGATTATTAAAGCAGCTTAACAATGACCAAACTAAAGGCTCTACTCACACAAACAGTTCAGCGAATCTGCAATTTGTTACTTTCCTAACAAGGGGATAACGATCTTCCTCTCAGAAGCTAATTAAAATAAACTAGTACATCATTTCCTTTCCAAATTCAATTTCTGGAACCAGGAGTTGATTATGAAAAAAAGATATCTAGGTATGGGATAATAAGGAAGACACTTCCTCAGTCCACATGCAGAATGGCGATCCTGAATGAATGAAAGCATGTTAAGCCCTCTTTGTTAGTCTTACACCACAAGAGATTTTAAATGAAGGAGTGGCAAAGATCAATGGGGCAGAACTCTGGGTTGTTACATACATACCTGGTCATTTAAACTGAAGATGCCAAGCACTGAACTCGCTGCTGCCCCTTGAAGATCAAACAGGCGTTCTGCCACTAACCTTTTGCAGGCCGAGTGTGTTTTTACAGGTTTTTAATCCTCCCCCCAGATTATTATTTCTATATTATTCTAATTACTTTTAATTGAATAATTTATTATGGTTTTAACTTTAATTCCTTTTCAATAAGGATAATTCAATATCTCCATTCAACAGGTGGGCTGAGGCAGTGTCTTCTTTATTATCACACAGCTCAATATCGTTTTCCTAAACTCAGTCCCAGCTTCTGGTTCTGGAAACTGAATTTGCAAAGTAAGGGATGTGCCAGTTTATTTTCATTAGCTCCTGAAAGTAACATTATTATCCTCTCGAGTCCCTTTACAGGAGAAGGGCAACATAGAAATGCTATTGAGAAATAAATAAGAATAGTGCATCAATGTTTTAAGAGAAGCTGAGACAATAGTGTGAATTTTCTTAATTTGAAGGAGAGATATAGTTTCAGCATAACTTACTGATTCAAACAAACTTTCTTTTCCCTGTTCTGGGAATAAATCTGTCTGTGATAACCAAGTCTTGAGAGAGCATGAGCTCAAAGGGTTCCTTATCGGTGACAGGGTACTTCCGTAGCTTTGTGAGCAAACAGGAAGGTTTTTTAAATATATATAGTTGAGTTTGATAACAGAAATCTCTCCACTGCAAATGCATCTCACTTCGACCAAATTGTCAGCGGTCCCACCTGTCTGTGATCTGTGCGCCCTCTATTAGCCCCTGTCTGTGCAGCTTTCCCCCTGTGCTGTGATGGAAGCAGGCAATTCCAGACAAACAAAGGATGAGCACCTGGAGTGGCCCTTCTGAGCAGGAGAGCTGTGCCTAAGTGCAGCGGAGATGCTACACAGACAACAGGCTAAGCCATTGTAAACATTACCCAAATCCTTTCTGCTCCACTGAAATAATTTGATAGATCCCTGCCAGCATCCACAAGGTTATCCAAAAGTTCTGCCCATTGGGTTTTAAGATAAATCAGCACAGCTGTTGCCTTTCTAAAAATTCTGTTTCTAGTATGCTTTACAGGTTTGGACAGAGCTAAATGCATGGAGGCGACCAGAGTGGAAATCAAATATCTTTAGATCTAACTGACTCTGTTCAAACATAATGCTAAATCAGGGTGTGCAGTATCCAGCCTTGATGATACAATCACTTCCCACTATTTTTGTGCCCTCTTTTAGATCCTGATGCCACCAACATCAAATGTGTTTCCACGTCAATGTTGATTAAAAGCTCTGTTCCTTCTAAAATGGCGGCCATAATGCACCCTGGCATCCTCCCAAGTGTACTCTCCAGTGCAGACATCATAAGTGCCCCCATAGGTAAAGGTAAATGTTCCCCTTGACATTTAGTCCAGTCCTGTCCAACTCTAGGGCGCGGCACTCATCCCCGTTTCCAAGCTGTAGAGCCAGCGTTTTGTCTCTAGACAGTTTCTGTGGTCATGTGGCCAGCGCAACTAGACATGGAATGCCATTACCTTCCCACCATGGTGGTGCCCATTTATCTACTTGCTAGGTTGAGAGGAGCTGGGACAAGCAATGGGAACTCACTCCGTCGCGTGGATTCGATCTTACGACTGCTGGTCTTCTGACCTTGCAGCACAGAGGCTTCTGCGATTTAACCCGCAGCGCCACCATGCCCCCATATTGATCCCCAAATAGTAAACCATGCGCTCAGAAGGTTTGGAGGAGGCTTTGCCATTTAAATATAGCCCCCCACAAGTCTTGTTTTAGACCGATAAAAGGTATTTCCTAAATAACTGTAACCGGAATTGTAAGTATATAACTGGCTTCAGAGTATACGTTATCATTTTTGATTAGAAATGTTCAGTTGTGTGGGAGCAGTGTGCCAAGGCCCGTGAGAGAGCCAAAATGCTCTTGGGCCCATCCATTTTGAGATGATGTCATATGCATGTTATTTAGAAGCAGAAGAACAATTCTGCGTCTAAAAGAATGCTACAGGAATAGAAGCATGTACTTTGCTTTAAAAAAGTAGCAGGATCTGCTGTGAACCCTGATATATTAGATTCAGCCCCAGGCATTGCCTATTTCTGTGCTAAGTTGTAGTTCAGCACTATACTGTATACTATGACTTAACACTGCATGAGTTAGAGCTGGGGCCAAATACTCCCCGTTTGTCTCTCCTCCTCATGGTGCACATCACAAGGAAGAAACTAGAAATATCCATCTCCTGTCCCTACCTATCTATGCTAAACTATTAACAACAACACATGATCCAGTGGATTACAATGTATCGCAACCCCTTTCAAGGTTTTCTGTGTACAGAGTACTCAGAAATAAAGATGGGCATGAACCACCGGTTTAGTAGTTTTGTGTGATTCGTTAATTGGCTGCAAAGCTGATCCTTGGTTTGGTGCTCTGCCCCCTCCAGCAGGCGCCCCCTCAGGGGCAGCACACAGAGGAGGCAGGGCAGGGAAGCTGGGGTACTGCTTCCAAGTGGGTGCCCACTGGAGGGGGCTGGGTGGGGTGCCAAACTGTGGATCAGCTGTGTAGCCACTAAATGAACTGCACTAAACTGGTGTTTATGTGCCTCTCTACTCAGAAAAGGTTTACCACTCCCTTCTCTGGAGCACTATGGAACTGTGTAACTTGACCAAGGCTAATCCTTCTTCCAGAGGGAGTACAGCTAAGACCCAACTAGCTATGCTTACAGAAAAAGAATAAACTAGGATTTCTCGAAACAAGCCAGGATGAAACTATGTTTTCTGATTTTATCTTGTTTCAACAAACTATACTTTAGTCAGTAGTCTGAGGCACTATATAACAGAAATTCTGATTAATTCAAAGCTTCCAACCTCTTTCTTATGGCTGTGCCAAAGAAGAGACTTGATGCGTACAAGCTCAAGGCTTGCTGCTGTTCATTCAAGTGACACCAAACTGTATCTCAATTGTGCCATTGTTTTAGGTATTTCATGAGAGTTCCATGTTCTAGACCAGTGGTTCCCAACATTGGGTCAACAGATGTTCTTGGACTAAAACTCCCAGAAGCCTTCATCACTGTCTGTGCTGGCCTGGATTTCTGGGAGTTGTAGTCCAGGAACATCTAGGGACCCAAGTTTGGGAACTACTGTTCTAGACATATAAGACATATAAGATCATCGAGGGAGACCCTTCTTCCAATTCCACTGTCCTCACAAGTGTGTTTCATTGAGACAAGGGAGAGGATTTTCTCTGTTGCTGCTTCCAAACTCTGTAGCTCCCTCCCATGGGAGGCCAGGCTGGCCCCATATTTGATCTCTTTCTGCAGGCAGACAAAGACCTTTCTTTTCAGGTAGGCTTTTTGGCTACTGTTGGAGAGGGCTTTTTAAAATTAATTGTTGTGTCTTGTTGCTTCTAAATGTGTTTTAGCATTGATTTTATGTACCACTTTTCAAACCATATTTGTTTAAGTCTTTTAAAATATTTGTATGTTTATTGTTGCTAGCTTTTAAATATTGCCTTGTTAATGATGTCAGCTGCCTTGGGTCCTTTTCAAGGAGAAAGGTAGGGTTAAAATATAAAAGAGTAAGTAAATAGGATTTGGGGGGGGGGAAGTAGAATTGTAAAATGTGAGGTTTGAAATTAAGTTAAATTAAATGATCGATACACCAAAACGTTGGCATGGATATTCTTCTGCGTGAAGTTGACATGAAAGTTTACAGTGCAAACACACTAAAACAGGGCCCGTTGTTATGTGCTGACAAATCAGAACTGACTTATACAGACTCTAATAGGGTTTTCAAGGTAAATGAGGTATTTAAAGAGTGGTTTTACCACTTACACACACACACACACACACGTGAGTTTCCATAGCAGAGCAGGGGAACTGAACACTAGTCTGCTGAGTGTGATTGGGTTCTTCTAAAATTGGTGACGGTTCCTTCATTTGGGCAGGAATGAGAGACAGAAGCGGTTTGAACTGTTCAACAACTTTATTCTCATCAGCTTCTGGGTTAACAAGATTAAACAGATCAAAACAGCTTAATTCCGGAATCATTTTATAACTCAGTATCTTTGACTGTGGTGTAAATATTTCACTCCTCACATTGGGGCTGGACCAAAGCGCTCGCAGTCGGTCACTGGTCTCATTGGGGTATTCCTCACAGCACACACCGTCCCACAGCACGGGTGCCTCGCCCAATCCCCCTCTTGGGGTGGGTTGTTGCAGGAGGGACTGGGACGGATCACCTTCCTCCCTCCACTTTGATTGCGGGGTAAACCACGACCATCCATTCTAGTGGCTTCACCACCCTCCCATCACCTCTGGGAGAGGCAAGGTCTGGTAGCAATCCTCCTCCTGTTTTGAGATTTGGAAATTCTCTCAACAGATCTCAGACCTTGCTAGCTGGTTTGTCCACACCATCTATTTGCTGTCTCTCCTGTTTCTCTCTTTTGAGTCCGTTTCCACTCTAAATTCTCATGCTTCTCTAGCTGGTTTGTCCACACCATCTATTTGCAGCGCACTGTCTCTCCTGTTTCTCTCCTTTGTGTCCGTTTCCACTCTAAATTCTCATGCGTCTCCTCCTTCCTTTATAACCTCCTCCCATAATATCAGATCTTGCTCCTCCTCTTTGTCTCCCTCCTTGTCTTCCGCTAAGCATATCTCTATCGCCTTTCCCACTTCCCTTCATCTTCCTCTATCTTTATGAGCTCCCCCTCTATACATTTGAATGTCTCCTCTTTGTCTATCCTCTGCTGAGGACGGCACACTAGCCTTTTGTCCTTCACACTGAGTCTTAGTTCCTCGCTGTAGCCACTACACCACACTAAGTATCAAGCTAAACATTAATAAATGAAATCAGATACACTCTTTGTGCGAAAAGATGGTCGTTCTTTTTTAACCACAACTATATTTTCCTATACAAGCTAAGGTTATTATGTTCCACCTAACATTTCAGAGTGGCTTTTTTCATGAAAGGATCCAGTAGTGGAGAATGACTGTATGTAAAGGAGAATCTCTCATTAGACAACAGGTTAAAAAGAAAAGAAGACGTTTTGAGATCTGTGATATTTCAGTCTGCTAGCTTTCAAATACTGAATGGCAATAATTTGAGTTAAACCATATAAGAGAGGTGAGTACACATTTGTGAGAAAAACCACATTAAAGCAGTACCAGTACTTTTGATAGTTTTTTGTTCCAGTTTTTCAACCTTGGTTGAATTCTCCTGCAGAGACTCAGCCTTCATTTCTATAAAATATTACCTTTTCTCTTGGAATCGTAATCGTATAGATATTTTAAAAACATAGTGATATGTTTAAGGCATGCAGAACTATCAACAAGAAAAGCCACTACATCTGTACCTTTGCATTCATCAATATGGCAAGATGATTCCAAGATGTGGTAATGTTTTGCCTCAGAGCAGTTGTACCAATGAACCTTAACCTTGATCTTAAGAGACTTTCTCGCTGTTCCTCTGACAGTTTGTTTATTCTTCACTTCAGGGTCTCTTTTGAGCTAAAACAGCCATTAAAGGACAAATTGTTCTAGACAGCTTTTCTTTCTCAATGAGTAACAAAAGGTGTACCATTCATTTTGTGTTTGCTTCCTACACCTTTTCACAGGTGAATGCCTTCCAAGTATGAATATACTATGCTATTCATCTAGAGCCTGGATCATTGAAATATAGATGGAAAAACGTGCTAAGATATTAATTGAGTATCTTACTAAGCAGGTAAGATAATACTAATTCAAAGTGGATGGAGCATACTTAGTCACCTAGAGCTAAGCATATTTTATATAATTCCAATAATCCATGTGCCTATTGTCATGTTATCAAGTTGATATTATAATCTCATATGTTACTAATATGTACATATGTTCAGCATTCTTTGGGTATTGGTATGTTTCATGTGTTTTTGTATGCCCAAATCAGTCATGTCTTTTGAGAATCTTCATCCGAATTTGGCCTCTGATGTCCAAAGCAGCCGCAAGTCAATGGTCCTATTCCAGATGCAGTCACTCTTGGAACAGACCCTTTGAAATGAATGGGAGTTCAGTTAGCTGTGACTAGCATAACTTCTCCCATTGATTGCAATGGGGTTACTCTACTAAATGTAGAGTAAATGTAGAGATTCAATCTCCAAGTTCTATAAACGGTAGATCTTGGTCCAGTGGCTGTACAGCTGTACAGTGGTGCCTCGTTTAATGAGTGCCCCGGTTAACAATGAATCCGCATAGCGATGGCAAAAAAGCAATCGCTTTTGCCATCGCTTTGCGATGTTGCCTATGGGGAAAAATCGCTTTGCGATGTTTTCCCCATAGGACCCATTTTCCCCCAGCTGAGCGGCAGGAGCCTCCAAAGGACCGCTCCTGCTGCTCAGCTGGGGGGAAATGACGGCAGTAGCCTCAGAAGGGCCATTCCGAAGGGTCGTTCCAAGGCCACCGCCGGGATTCCCCTTCGGAGGGGGCATTTTCCCCGAGCTGAGCGGGAGCCCTGCCGCTCAGCTGGGGGAAAATGCCGGCAGTAGCCTCGGAAGGACCCTTCCGAAGGGTCCTTCCGAGGCCACCGCCGGGATTCCCCTTCGGATGCCTGAAAGGCATCCAGACCCCTGCCGCCACTGCCGCCGCTTGGATCCGCCCCAGTGTGGTGGATCAGTTTCTACAGCTATTATCCACTAAACCAAATTCTTTTTCTTCTTTGGGTATTTCTTTATTTTAAAAAAGCCTTTTATAAAACAGCATCACAACACAACACGTTTCTGCACATATTATAATTCTTCATGACCTCTTGCTTCTGCATGTATGGCGCATCTACCCACAAACATAAACACATGCATGTATATACACGGGTGTGTGTGTGCATTATTACTACCAGAATGTCTTCCTTCCTTTAAAAAGTGTGGATTGTTTTTTTTCCAAATGCCATTGATTCCATTGGGCTGTTTCTCAGCAGACTAGAGTGCCTCATTCTACATTGTGTGCAATGTATACAGTTGCGCTAAACGTTACCACTTGATTTCCTCCTTTTCCCATGAAATCCATGAAAACGACATATTTGTATCTACGAACATCAGTTTGTTTTGTTTTACTCTGTTTCAGCTATAAGGACCACAGACCTGTATGGTATCCCCAAGTATTCTCTTGGACATACTTTTATCTTATCTTGGACAACTACTGATGAGGAGGAGATTGACAGACATGATATTGCACATTACATTCATGAATAGTTCAGTGACAGGCCAATTGACAAATACTTTCCTGATCTATGATTTCTTGAGAGCCCTTTTGGATGGGGACGGGAATAGTCATCTGTACTATGGACCACTTCTGCCTGGTTAAGTAGGTTGAGTGGTATATCTGCAGGGCCGTATGGTCTGATTTACCCATGCAGAATCAAGCCACAAGAGACCAAACTATTACGTTTCCTGTTCATTAGAATGAAATTAACTTAAGCTGGACTGCATTTACTGTATGTTGCTATATTAAAGTAATGAAATACCATATGTTGTTTATGGAGCTCATATGCTGGTTTCTTTCAGAGAACATTTGAAACTCAATACCTGAGACTGCTTAGAGAACGGCACCATTTTGTGATCATGAATTTGGATTATAATGAACACAAACAAACTGACTATGTACTGTAGGTATCAACCTGATCCATTCTACTGCTATCATATTAGCAAAATGAATAGCTGCATTCATGAATAGATACGTATAGTAATCCTTTTACCTAATGGCAATAAGCAAATCATTTCCTCCTTGTCCTTTGAAATCTACTTTATTTCTTTTCTGGAACAATTATGGTTTCAAAGCAACTTCTGCCTGTGTCTTTTATACTGATGACACTTCTCCACTTCTGTCTTCTGGCCACAGTCCTGGACATTCATCATGCTGTATGTAGAGACCATTAGTGTAGCTGATAACCCAGATGCTTTTCCATTTAAAACTGGCGTGCTTGTTTAGTTAGGCAATCATGGCATTATGAACTTACCAAGTAATTCTGGCTCTGCAGGTACTATTATCTTCTTCAGGCCATAGTTATCTAAGAAGAACGGGCACCATGGGTTCCTACATAAGAAAGAGATGTAAGCCCCATGAAGGCATACTTTGTTCATATCTGTAAAGAAAGCTAGGGAACACATGCAACAGCTTTCCTGCCTACTCCACAACCTCCCCATGTTTGACAGGGAAATCTCTGGCAGATATGTAACCATATTTAAATAAATGTCCATTGTCAGTGTTCCCCAGGTGGAAATTGCCATCCTTTCAATAAGCACTAGAAAAGGATAATTCTTTCTATAGCTAATTGCAGGGGAAACGGTTTTATTGCCCCATTAAACAAAGTTTAATGTGTTCCTATGGCTTTTTCCGTTCCGTTTAGCGATGTTTTCGCATAGCGACGATTAATCCGGAATGGATTAACATCGCTATGCGAGGCACCACTGTATTCTGCAGGACAGGGTTTAATAAAGCTATGGATTTTTCTCATGTTAAGTGATTGTAGTACTGATGAAGCTTATCAATGGCCAGAATCTTATTGGTTAGTTATGCTAGTAAGTGCTATGACATAATTTTTTGCAGTAAATTGCTGCTAATTAATTAGTTGCTGCCTGTATCTTTTGTACTGACTTATCAGTGACTTACTAACTAGCGGCAATTCATTGCTGCAGTTTATGTAATTGTACTTATGATGGCATAATTAACCAATAGATTTTAGCCATCGACATGTTTCATCCCTATTGCAATTGCTTAACTTGCAGACAACACAAAACAGTCTTACCAAGTAATTCTGGCTCTGCAGGTACTTCAGGCCATAGTTATCTAAGAAGAACAGGCAGCATGGGTTCCTGCATAAGAAAGAGATGTAAGCCCCATGAAGGCATACTTTGTTCATATCTGTAAAGAAAGCTAGGGAACACATGCAACAGCTTTCCTGCGTGAGCACAGTTTTAGCTGCAATACAGTGGTTTAAGCACTGCGCCACAAGGCTCTTAAAGAATCTGTAAAGAAATCTAGGGAACACATGCAACAGCTCTCCTTCCTACTCCACAACCTCCCCATGTTTGACAGGGAAATCTCTGGCAGATATGTAACCATATTTAAATAAATGTCCATTGTCAGTGTTCCCCAGGTGGAAATTGCCATCCTTTCAATAAGCACTAGAAAAGGATAATTCTTTCTATAGCTAATTGCAGGGGAAACGGTTTTATTGCCCTCCCAGCTTCAGGGTTATAAGGATTTGCAGTTACTGTGGTCTTGATGGAAATCACCTCTTCCTGCTTCCACACAATTCACCTAATTAACCTAAATTAGCCTCACAACTAACCTAGTGATACTCTGGTTCAGGACCCTGAAAGGCCTTAATCCAGCTAGCACCAGTCATGACCCCCAAGGTCAACAACAATACCAATATGAGCTCAAACTATTCCTATGGAGTGTTAAAACCTAGTTCTGCATTTGGTGCTGCACTTATTGTGTATTAACATTCTGGAACACATCCCATTCTTATAATGTATAATCCCATTCTTATAATATACTCTTGAAAATCCACTCTTGCTGCAACTGAGAAATTGTTCCAAAACATTAGCAATGTTAACCAGCTAACTCAGAATGTTCTGTATCCTTTTGATTTGACAGTCTGGGATGTTGCAGAGTTTTAAACTTTGATTAAATTCCTCTAGGTGTGCAGCCAAAGTGCAGTATTTCAAAATGCAGAATATCTACCAGTTCTCCAGAGCACTCCACCCCTCTTTCTCATTAACTGGCACTTAACAGTCTCAATAATTCACTCTGAGACATTAACGGTAGAAAGAATGGAAACCGTTTGCTTTACTTACAGGTGAACAGACTCACTGCTTCCAACAGACTCAGGAGAGGGAAAAAGCTCTTGGCAGAAAGAGGCGGGGCTCTTTTTGAAATCAGAGGCAGGAAGGAACAATTGGTTAGTGCTAGATCGATTGACAGCCGCTTCAGCCCAGAAAGGGCTCTCCCAGCCAAATCTACTAAAGGCAGCAGGTGAGGCTGCAAAAACTCCAACATAGGATTCTCTAATCTTTTTCCTTCTTTGAAAGGATTTGCCTATGTGATTTTTAGATTAAGAAAAGAAAACCTGCTATATTAAATTATGACATCACCACTCCAGGTATTTTGACTCAAAAATATGGATGACTCCAATAGTGACTCTTCTAGTTATGTCCTCAGGCTCAGTCATCTGCTCAGTGGTGCCAGGAATTTCCAGGAAAACTTGGGAAAGCATCTGACCTTTTTCTGAAGTGGTTGCTAGACGTTCCAGTTTAGCAATATAAATTATTCTCAATGGTCCATCCACTTACTCATTCTCCTTTTTCTAAGAGAATGGCTTTTGTTTACCCATAAAAGAAATATTACTTTTTCAAACAATGCAAGCACTCTGTTTTTAAAACAAATGTAAGAGAGGGACAGGCATGGCACACTCAGAATAGTACAGTTTCAAAAAAAGAGCTTTAAACTTTTACTGTTAATGGATTCCAGATGAGATCATCTGACATATGAATCTTGGTTTTGTTAATACTAAAAATGAGTCACACTAGAGTTAATGTTGAAAAGTACGGTAACTGAGATCTAGTTAATGATAGTCCTTTTTTATATATTCATGGGGTGGGGGAGGGATCATAAATGCATGTTTGGCCCCACCTTTAAGGTATTACACAAGTTATACCAATGCTCTCAAACACATTTAAGACTTTATTATATGTGTGGTCTAAGAGCACCTTGGGCAATGGAAGGATGAAATAAGGTGCGACCAGATGATCAGAAAGGCAAACAGCTCATTGCACTGGAAAGGATCGCTTTGCAAGGAGCAATCTGCCTTTAAGCAACCCTTCTGTCTGCTGAGGAATCACCCCAGCTTGACCCTAAAAAACAATAGTTCTGCTACTGGACCAAGAAGGTCCAGCCTGGGCACAGATCTGGTTCAGGATGGAGGTCAATTCCCCATGCATCATGTGATCGCCGGGGGAATAGATCACGCCAGACTGCTCCACAAATGTCGAATATGTGATATATTTCCCTGTGCTCCCTATGTCACTATGTTAATACCTGCCATCACATGTTAAAAACATCAACCAGTACATTATGTGCTGGGAAAGTGCTCTCATCTGAGACCCTGGAGAGCTCCTTTCAGTAAGAAAGGTCAGTGGCACACTCGCTGGGCTTGGTGGACAAATAGTCTGACCATATTGGCAAACTCCCATGTTCTTTCCAGTCTTCTCTAAGAGGTCTGACAGAATATATTTTGTTGTTTGAACATGGTGCCATATTCCAATTCTCCAAGACAGGGTGTGTAATATTCAAACCTGGCTGCATTATTCTAGCCTCTCAAGCAGAGAACTCCCTGTTAGTGAAAATGACCCTGGCTGCTCTTTTGTGATGTCCCACATCAGCTGCACGAGGCAGCTGCTTCATGATGGAGCAGTCCTCTTCCTTAATTCTACCAGTCCCTGTCTTGCAAGGCCTTGATCCAGCTGAATGGCATATGCAGGACACCTAGGTATGTTTGGGTTTACAATGCAAGGCATAGTACCTGTGAATGTTTGGGGTGTGTGTGAGGAAAGAGCCTATGAGTGCAACTCTGATTAAAGAATAAAGGCACGATAAATTAACTAAATGACAATTTTTTAGAAAATCAGGGGGGAAAAGAGAAGACCCACTCATACACGCACAAACGTGGAAAAAATAGCAACATTTAAAATAAAAACACAGCTGCCTTTCAAGAAAGAAAGAAAGAAAAGCAGGCAATTCAAGGCAAAAAAATACAGTCACATCCTCTCTCCATTACCAAAACTACAAGAAATACGAGGATGATTGTCTTCCCTTGTCACTTGATACCTTCTCTCCTCTTCTCTGAGTCCGGCAGGCAGCAGCAAAAATAGTCCAAGGACGTATCCACATTACTGATTAACCCATCCCTATGCATAGAGGTTTTTTGCTGCAATTTGAAAGTCATGTGACATGCCATATGGTGTATGAATCATTGTCTGGGTCTCCTTGAGATAGTAGTTAAGGTGTTGCATTTTTACACCGCTGAATGTGTGTCCTCTCTAGGCAAGACTTTTAATATTTGTAAAAGCTGTCTTGCAGCTTGGTTGAGGGGGGGGGTACACTAGCTTTTAAAACCTCATTTCATTTGAGGTTTGCCCACTCTGCCCTCACACTGGATGGCCACTCACCCCAACTGCTGTGGCGACCTGAGGGAGAGAGGGAGAGGGCAAAGCTTTAGAAAGTTTGGCTGCTTCCATTTGTACCCATTGAAAAACATCACAGAAATGAAGGGTGCCTGGCTCTGCCCCCAAACACTATCCTCTTGGGAGGCAAGTGAGTGCGCTGGCAGGGGAGGATCAGGCTGGGAGGGTGAGCAAGGGGATAGGGGGAAAAACGATCAGGGTGGTGGAGGGTCATCAGGCATGGAGCAATTTATGGCATGAGAGGAGGGCACATAGGGCAATCTGAGGCATTACACTGTGACTCAAGTCCTGTACTAAAATAAGCAACCCCACCAGGAGGAGGAGGTTAAATGACATGCTTCCAAAGAGAATAACATGAGTCTGGGGGGAATGGAGGGGACCCGAGATCCACTGTGATCAACTTTTTAAACATTGCTACAACTGCAGCTAAGTGCAATGCAAATTCCAGTTCTTTTGCCAGTATAATCAGGAACCAAGGAGGAACCAAGAGAATAGGAAGAGGGAAAACTGTACTCCAGGAAATGGAGGGAGGATTTAAAAAATAATTCCAAGGAGACACATTGGCACAGGTAGGCTGCCTGGTGGCAGCAAAAATTATCTAAAGAAATGTATCTCTCCCTCCTAAAAAAAAAAAACACCCAAAAAATTAAAGGAAAGGAGGATCCAAAATGAAGGCACAGAAAGCAGGCAGCAAAATCAAAGATGGAGGGCATCAGATGCTTCCCAGTCCTACCAATAATGAACAACTGAAGCAGAAACCACTCTTCACTGGGTTTCAACTTGATATGTGCATTCATTTTGTTGTTTTACTCCAAATCCGAGAATCCTGAAAATTTCATCTAATGGACAGATGCGACATTAAGCTCACCTGGAAGAAGGTTAGGCAAGAAGGTTAGACATATGATCCAAAATAGGCCAAGCATATGCCTAGTTTCCTGTTAGACAAGGAGGCAGCCTGAGTGCCCACCTTTTCAGGAGATCACAATTCAGGTGTCTGCCTGGCAAGTAAATCTCCCAGATTGTGAAATTCTGAAATTTGGAATAATGAAAAAGTTACATGTCTATTTTTGCAATCAATCCAGGCACTTTTACAGATTCGAAATCCCACTCCTTTGATTGGTTGCTGATAGCAGTCCTTGTGACACTATTGGATTAACTATTTCTCAGGCCATTTAACAGATAAGGGGTGAAAGAAAGGTTACACAAAAAAGGGTACACAAAAGAAACAAAACTTTCATGAACGGCTCTTATGTAAGCAGAAATCATTCATCTTTAAGAGGCTCTCTTTTGGCAATTGACAAAAGAGTGTGAAACACAAAAAAAAGAGAGCATCTTTCATGTTTTGGGCCATTCTCAAAAGACAAAAGGCCCATCCCCAGTGTAGACAGTCATACAACAGTCTGTCTAACTCTACCATATTTGGACAAATAGAGCAAGTGAAGAATATGGCTCTTATAAGTCATTTCAGCAGTTCTGCAGTCTCAGCAAAGACATCTTCTATCCCACCTGCACCAAAGTGTCTGTGGATCAGGATTGTTGGAAGGAAAGCTGATCCTTATTTGCAGGACCTGGTTCTGATAAATGGAATGCCAGTGAAGAGAATAATCCTTAGTCAGGAGAAATATGATATTTCTACAATCCATCAGCAGTGGATTAAATAAATGACAAGGACTGCATTAGTGGAACACGGCTACATTTCAGGAGAGCTATTAACTGTTGAATGCATGGGTGTGTTGTGGAGCAAACACAGGTTTCTTTGCTTTTAAAGAGCCACGTTTTCCCCCATGGTTTGTCTTCAATAGCCAGCATCAGAGAACAAAGCTTAATAAAGGTAAAAACAAGTAGGATCTCTTTATAAGAATTCCTGATTAATATGACAGTAAACAAAGTAGCAACTAATTAAAATGGTTATAATTTTCAAGAGGATTTTACAAGTCATTATTTCCGTATCCTGACTCAGAACATTGGCCCATCCAGCCCAGCAAGGTCTATTACCTTGACTACCAGTGGCTGCCCAGAGTTTCAGATGGGGACTATTTGCAGTCAAACCTAGGATTAATGGAAATTAAATTTGGGACCTTTTGATGCAGAGCATGTGATCAGTGACTGAGCTTTGCCCTTGGCTCATAAGCTTCATTTCAAACCTGTTTTCCGTCCTATTAATAAAATCAAATAAATGGTCTGTCCAGTTAAAGATCCTCGAGGACTCAGAGCCCCGGACATTTATCGAGTACCAGGTTGCTGTGACCAAGCTTACATCGGCCAGACTGGAAGATCTGTAACAGACAGAATATCTGAACATTTGCAATACTGTACGTTATATTACAACAGCCTGGAAAACCTGGACTGGCTGAACATTGTATCAAGTATGGTCATAAACCCCAATGGGATGGGGTAAAAATATACAATAAACATGCATTGACATGACTGGAAACCTGTGAGTTGCTTATACAAATCCAATAGAATTGATTTTGGGGAATCAAAGCCATTTGTGTGTATGTGCATGTGTGTATAATTAAGCTAGATTTATTATTTTGCCTTTGAAAGAATGGAGTTCCTATACGCACTTACCTGGATCTAGTCAGTTCTTATATCTAAGGCTGAAATCTGTATGTGAGATTACTGGTTCTTTAAAATAGAGCAAA